ATATTATATTATATTATATTATATTGGAAGCCCCCCACCACCACCCTTTTCTTCGTCGCGTTTTGTTGCGTCATTCCGCCGCGCCGGAAAAGGCAGAACCTAGAAAAAAAAAGCGAGAAAAAAAAGGAGGCGTTTCCCTTCGAACAACACATCACCAGCTGCAAATTTATGCAGAGCAGAGAAATCTGTGCTGCTACTGCTTCTGCTGCTGCAAAGAAGAAGAAAAGAAGCAGCAGCACCGTTTTAACGAGCCGCCCGGGAGGCCGCCGAGTCGACCCGCCGCCGGGAGCCGCTGCAGGAGGAGTCCGAGAAAACCCCAGCGGCGACGGTAAGAAGGCACCGGGACCCCCCCGGTAACGAGGCAGACCGAATCAGCGGCGGTGCTGCTAGCCTCCGGTGGATCTGGTATCAACTGGTCTGAGGCACGCAGCGCTGCTAGCTGTGTTAGCTCTGTGTTTTGTTTTAGCTCAGGTGACCGCTGCAGCTGAAAGAATCCGTTTTATCCAGGCTGCAGCCAGCTGCAGACCGGTTCCTGCTGGGACTGATGGTGTGAGAGGAGGAGGGGGAGGAATAAAAGAGAGGCTGCCATAAAAAGATGCATTATGGACACCTGATTTAAATGGGTCCTGGGGGGGATTCAAATAACCTGTAAACGTGAAGGGGAGGAAAAATGAAGCAAAAACCATTGTCCCAGACCAGGCCTAATCAGGTCAAAGCAATACTGTAATTTATTTATTTTTGTTTTTAATAGAATAACTAAACAATGCAAGAAAAAATGGGTTAAACAATATATTTGATATTTTATCTAAAACCATGTTGAAATTATAATATAGTTTATGTTTGCAGGTGTGCACAGTTCAGTTTATATCAGAGTTAATGTGTCAAAAAAGGTAAATATTACCTGCAATAAATAATAATCACGTGCTTTTCTGTGAGTTTAGGCTGCAGTTTGTGAAAATGTTTGCCCACTAAATAAAACATTTTAGTTTGTGTCTTGGGTTATCTCATACATTCAGATTTTATTATTTATTTTTTCCTATTAAGGCAGCACAATGTATCACAAAATTATCTTCATCATAGTAGTGAGTGTGATATTATTATCACAAAGGACTGCTTGGGCTGCAATAAATTACAGTTCATTCTATTTCAAATARCATGTTTTACTGTTCTACTAAATTATATGATTTATAACTAATCTGAGCCTTTAGTCTTATTAGAACCAGTTCTTTAAAGATATCCTATTATATGCATTTGCTGTACGTATGGGACAATAGGAAGCAAACATGTCTGCAACAATTTTTAGATTTTATTTTAGCATTAACATTTAGTGATTGCACTCTTTCAAATTAAAACTATAATCTTTCGTTGCAGCGTCTCGTTGCAGTTGAATGATCTAAAAAATGATTCAGGAAGAAACAAAAAGTTTGAGGTTTGGACAGCTAAGTCTTCCAGATGTTTTTCCAATCAAACATCTGGGAAGTTCTGAAAAAACAAATCTGGAAACCTTAATGATCTGTTGCAGACGGCCTGACGACAGGATCAGCAGTAAACCCTCAGAGGTTAGAGTTGTTTTGGATGCGAATGAGAGATTTTTATTGAAGTTCGTGTTTCCGGGCTGACATCCTATTTTCATAGATTTTGGGACAATAAAGGGTTTTTGCTTTTCACCTTAGAAACAATCACACTGTAAAATGTCGAAAAAGCAGAGAGATTAGTGGAAAGATTTTTTTTTATTTTTTTCACAAAAGAGATGTTTAACTTTGACTGAACAATGACTCGTTTGTCTTCTCAACAGCCATGGAGACGGACGGAGAGCAGAACCAGCAGGGAGCCTCGACCAATGGGAGCACAGCTTCTGGGACGAGCTCCCGGTCCTCACCCATAAATTCAATGTCTCTGTAYGAGAGGCAGGCGGTGCAGGTATGTGTGTGGTTTTATAGCTTGAGCTGTGAGRACCAGTTTGATTGTTGGGATCCACAGGGAAGAATTCTGCAACCTCATCCTGGATGAATAATAAATTAATTAATGCTGGTTATAAAGATCCAGACGGTTCAAACAAAGACCAGGGTCATTCTCCCTCCTGTAATCCCACTTGTGTTGCCGGTTTCTTCTCTTATTGTGACTTTAAACAACCCTGTGGTGTCTCACATCACACTTTTCCTCATCATTTCACTTACACGATGTTTATAATGAGCCTCTTGAAGAAATGAATTTCTGCGTGAAGATGATAAAGGTGGTAAAGAGACGAGGACGAGGCCGGCCCTGACAGAGGCTTGGTGTTATTTTCTCAGGCCTTTGTCGTCCTGCGCGGCCATCTGTCTTTGTCACCCTGCGCACACTAATCCAAGCCGCCGCGCTCGTTTTCATCCCTCAACTTATTACAGTACGAGCCTCTGCTCATACATCAGGCAGCTGGCAGGAAGCTGCTACCTCCCTCCCTCCTCTGCTCAGATACCATCGTTTCTCTTTAACAAACCCTTTCTGGCTCATCTTGTCCTCTTCTCGTTATCTACTCTGTTGCTCGGTTTTTAATTTCTCCTCCACTTCTCCTCCTCCAAGGCCCTCCAGGCGTTGCAGAGACAACCTAACGCGGCGCAGTACTTCCAGCAGCTGATGCTGCAGCAGCAGATCAACAGCGCCCAGCTGCAGAACCTGGCTGCTGTGCAACAAGTGAAGGTGTGTGTGGCAGTTCATTTCAACACAAAAATATTCAGCTTTCTTTAAATCTGCTTAAAAATAATATCGAAAGACAAAGTGAATAAATTTAAAGGGATCCCTGATTAGTTATTAGACTTTATTTGATAAACATTTATTTGAACTGTAAAATAAAGACTGAAAATACTTTTGTTAATTTTTAAAAATATATTTTGACATGGACGGAGCCATTTTATTTACACGCAAAGCATTCTGGGTAAATGATGACATGGATAGGTCCTCGGTGCGAGGCTGCTAGCGAGCTATATCCACCCTGAAGTTTAATCTTGGACAATATCTGATGATCGACTCTTTTAAATGAAACCAGAGAGCGTTGACAGAGAGGAGAAGGTAGAAATGACTCAGCCTGGAACTGAAAATATGGATGGAGGACAACAGAGCTGCTTCCTGGAAGAACCTCAGCTTAGCTTGTTAGCTTTAGCGCCGACGCTATATATCCTTATATGTATTAGCTCGGTGCTAGCACGACAAACAAGCTAAACTGAGGTCCTCCATCCATATTTTCAGTTGCAGCTGAGTCATTTTTGCGTTCCCCTCTCTGTCATGTGGATGGAGGACCTCAGTGATGAGAGGAGAATGTGCARCACTGAGCTAATACATATATATGGTGATAGCATCAGGGTTAATGCTAAAGCTAACAGGCTAAGCTGAGGTTCTTCYTCCATGAAGCAGCTCTGTTGTCCTCCATCCGTATTTTCAGTTCCAGGCTGAGTCATTTCTACCTTCTCCTCTCTGTCAACGCTCTCTGGTTTCATTTAAAAGAGTCGATCATCAGATATTGTCCAAGATTAACCTTCAGGGTGGATATAGCTCGCTAGCAGCCTCACACCGAGGACCTATCCACGCCATCATTTACCCAGAATGCTTTGCGTGTAAATAAAATGGCCCCGTCCGTGTAACATATTTTTAAACCTTTAGTTTAAAAATGATTAAAACTGAACATCCTACAGTATTTTTACAGTCTTTATTTTACAGATAAAATATATGTTTATCAAATAAAGTCTAATGTTACAACTAATCAGGGATCCCTTTAAAAATGTTAAAATCTGCACAAAGCAAAATAAGGGTGATATTTAAAGCCACAAGTGAAAGTTTGGGAAGTGATGGATGGAGAGGACAGTTGTGCTGGAATGTAGCTGAAACGTGAAAAATTGAAGGTTCGGTGACCAAAAACAAAGAGCCACGTCTTCCTTCGACCACAGAACAGCCTGAGGAAACCGCTCGGCTTGGATTTTCTCAGCTTCTCCTTGTCTTCTCTCCTCCAGGCGACGCTGGCAGCCAGTCGTCAGTCGAGTCCCTCCAGCAGCACCAGCAGTTCTTCCCAGACCACCAGCACCACATCTGTACGCTCTAGTGTTGTTTTTTTCCTCTTAAACAAAAATGTATTTTAGTTGCAAGTCAAAAAACATAATTTTTTAATAACGGATAATAAAAAATATACATATGAAATGAATGTTGCTCTTCAGGCCAGTGTAACATCTGGATCCAGTTCTTCAACCAGCAGCCGTGCGTTAGGCGCCTCAGCCACGTCCACCATCAGTCAGTCGGTGTTGCTGAGCGGGACGGCAGGTGGGCAGGGACAAATGTACCTGAGGGTGAGTGTTTCTCAGTTTGAGGGGAATGCCGAGTCAGCGTTTTCTTCTTGCTAGCATTCAGCTAACGGTCTGCTCGTTCATCCCCCCCCGACAGGTCAACCGCTCCCTGAGGACTCCCATCCAATCTCAGCTCATCTTCATGCCTGGCAGCACTGCGACCGCTGCTGTGGCGACGGTGACCCAGCAGCCGCAGGAAGTGACCCCGGCTTCCTCCAGCAGCAACCAGTCTGATAACGACCAGGTATGTGGGCTAATTRGCTTAACGTTTCACAGCAAGGGTTAATCCTGGGCTGTGTCTCTCTAACCAGAAGCTCAATAAAGGCTTAATTTGTTTTAATGAAACACTTCCTGTTTGTGTCCAGGCGCAGAATCTCGCCATGAGAGGAGTCTCGAGTCCGAAAGGAGTTAAATCTGAAACCCCAGATAAGAGTGACTCAGGTAGGACGAAAACGGAAAGTACCTGGTTTGGTTTGATAAGGGTTCCCGTAGATCCTTAAAAAGTCTTAAAAGTTCTTGAATTCATCAATCCAAAAATAAGGCCTTAATTAGCCTTATAAATGCCTTAAATCAGTCTTTCAGAAGTCTTAAAAATGTTAACAAATTGTAAATAGGATGACGGTAATTCATCTCAAACACTAAAATAATTGGTAACATTTATTATTTGAAATATTCACATGCAGACATTCCCCTTTAACATCACTTCCTGTTATTTCACATGCAAATATCTCAACAACTGTCCATCTGAGCAATGAGAAATTCATTTTCTAATATGTTAATTATGTTGTCTTTCCAAAAATGCWTTCACTTTGTCACAGGCACTTAAAGGTTTCATCTATAGTTTATTGGGGTTAAGACCCAACTGTGGGTCCTAAAACTCCAAATTTTGGGTCGTTAAACTGCTAAGAATGTTTTTGCTATATTTAATGAAAAATCAGTTAGATATGGATAAAAACAGTTGATCTATTAGGAAAACATTTGAATACTTCAACAAAAAGTACTTTGATTTCATGAGTTGCTGCTACAGTTTGTTTTTTTGTCGTTTGTGTTTATTATGATATTGGTCTTAAATTTAATTTCACTTTGCATTAAAAAGTCTTAAATTGAACTTGCCTCAAACTGTAGGAACACTGTTTCTGTTTTCTTTTCCCAGCTGCCTATTCCTTGGTCCAGCCCTCCCACCAGTCCACCACCCAGTCCCCCACTAAACCGAGTCCACAACCGCCCCACATCAAAATCCCGACCTACCCCCAGCCGACCAACCTGAAAGCCCACTCTTCCTCCTCTCCTGGTGTCTCGTCTTCAACCGCGTCCTCCACTTCCTCCATCCCTCTCTCCCAGCTCTTGCTTCACGGGACTCGGACCCTGACCACGGGGACCACGGCCCCCACGGCCGCGCACACCCTGGTCCTGACGTCCAGCGCCACGCCTCAGCCCCACGGGTACCCGGTGGGCACGGCCACCATCAAGCCGGCGGTCAACGCTCAGACTCTGGTGGTGCAGCCTCTGCAGAAGTCCTCGCTCGGCGCGGAGAAGTCGGGGCACGCCAACGGACCCGTCCCCATCCAACCAAAAACTCTKCAAGGGCTACGCTTGCCTCTTCCGCTGCCTTCTCGGAACCCCCCTCCCATCCTTCCTGCCCCGACGCCGTCCGGCAGCTCCAGCCACCCTCCTCAGCCRCCACACATCCCCGTTCAGATAGTGGGGGCCAGGCAGAGCACGCTGGGCGGGGCCCAGGCCCTGGCGCTCGCCAGAGGCAGCTGCAGCCAGGAGGGAGCCGCYGTCCTCAGCAGCTCCTCCAGCCTGCTCACCATGGTGGCCTCCATCGCCTCCAGGGAGGGTGGGGTTGTCGGCCGAGGGGTGGGGCTCAAGACTCTTCAGGCTCCCCAGGAGGCCCCCCCACTATCTCAGGCGTCTCAGGTGCATCCACAAGCCAGTCAGAGCTCTGCGCACAGTCAGAACGGACCTTCGTCCAATCCCGCCTCCKCTCAGTCCACCACCATCTCATCTCCTCCCCCCTCGCAGTCTCGCTCGACGCAATCTTTCCCCCAGGCGACTGAAGGCCAGAGAGGAGCATCAGCTGCTGTAACGGCCAATGGAGACTCAGCAGGAGGCCAGACGCCACAGGTCAGCTGGTCATAGATGAGCCAATCACAGTTTGAGAATAAATGATAAAYGTTAGCAAACATGGCCGAAACAAATCAACTTATGGAGCTAAATTGGGGAATAAATTTTGTTCAAAATAAATGTTTTTTAAAACTGAAAAATAGTTTTGAAACTAAAAAAATAAGTTCTGAAAAAAAAGATTGAAAGCTGAAAGTGGAAGGAGATGAAGGGTTATGGTCCTGTCATCTGAGGCTCCGCCCCCACGCCAAAACAGGGCCAAAAGTTTGAAAATGAAAAGAATAAATTTGAAACTGAAAAGACGAGATGTTTGAAACTTTTTCCAGTTTCTAGTATGATTTTTTTCAGTTTCAAAATTATTTTTCAGTTTCAGCAACTTTTTATTTTGAACTAAATTTATGACTCCAGTTTAGCTCCATATCTTTCAGCTCTTCCTGCCTTTTAAATTAGTGACGCTGTTAATTCCTGACTTCAAGCTGCTGCTGAATTTTTTAATGCGGTTAAAATTAGTTGTTTTTTCTTGTGTTTTATTTATTTATTTATTTATTAAAGGGAAAGCAGATTAGCGCCTCTCTCAAAAGAAAACCAGACTCCAGCTCAGTGAATGACGAAGATGGCCCATCTCCTCCACGGCTCCAGCTGGTCAGAGACCGCTCCTCCTCATCCTCAGCCAAGCCCATCTGTGCAGGTAAGAACACACGTCTCTGTCGTCCATCTTGAACACACTTTTAACAGACACTAAAACCRTTTTCCTCTCCAGGCTCTACGTCTCCTCCAGCCTCCTCCTCTCCTACCCCYGCGCTCTCTGTGTCTCGGGGGGTCTGCGGTCAGGGCGAGAGAGCTTCACCTCCTCAAGCTGTTGTTAAACCACAAGTCCTTACTCACCTCATAGAAGGCTTCGTTATTCAAGAGGGAGCAGAACCTTTCCCCGTGCGTGCTTGAAAGCTTGCATTTTTTTAAAATCCTCATTTCTGTTTTCTAAATGATCTCTGAAGTTTGGTTCTGTTTTCTGTCTGACGGGCAGATCTGTGGTCCGGTAAAGGACTCTGCTGGGGAGGATTTGACTGATGACAGTCCAGACACTAACCAGTCAGAAACTGTTACCACTGCAACAGGTATGAACTCAGACTGCTGCTCTGTATGTTTTTAACGTGGTAAAATACAAAATGAGATAAACAGACTTGTTTATTTTCCCCCTCTTCTAAGGAGAGTGTGTGAAAATTTAAATGCAACTCATTTATTCATGATCTACGACGGAGTATTAGGGCCACATAACAAGATTTTTAAAAAAATTTTCAAATTACGAGAATGAAGTCATAATATTACGACATTAAAGTAGTATAAAAATAAAGTTATAATGTTATGAGAATAAAGTTGTAATTTTACGACATTAAAATCGTAATATTACGAGATTAAAGTCATAATATTACGAGATTAAAGTCGTATAAAAATAGTCATAATATGAGAATAAAGTTGTAACTTTACGACATTAAAATCGTGATTTATGAGATTAAAGTCATAATATTACGAGATTAAAGTTGTATAAAAATAGTCATAATATTGTGAGAATAAAGTTGTAATTTTACGACATTAAAATCATAATATTACGAGATTAAAGTCATAATATTACGAGATTAAAGTCGTATAAAAATAGTCATAATATGAGAATAAAGTTGTAATTTTACGACATTAAAATCATAATATTACGAGATTAAAGTCATAATATTACGAGATTAAAGTCGTATAAAAAT